TTTTTTTGCAAAAACGGTAAATTGCAAATATCTCAAAAACGGTACCATAAAATTAAAAATAACCTTGATTTTCGGAATCAGGGGGTGATTTTACATACGAATTTCATAACGGCGTCTCTGGTAAATTTTGGCCGTCGACCAGTGTAATGAGTGAAAATAGTGCGAAATTTCATGTTTCTAGCTGCATATATGGAGAAGTTATAAAAAAGGATCTCATATCTGAACAATCAGTTGTATGGAGGCTATAGGTTATAGCGACCCGATCTTCGCCATTTTCACTGTAAGTATTTTTTTTGCTGCATATATGGAGAAGCTATAACAAAAAATCGCACATCTGAACAATCAGTTGTATGTGAGCTATATGTAAAAATGACCCGATCTTTGTTATTTTCACTGTAACTATTGCTAATGGGTAAAAGTCTTGCAAAATTGTATGTTCCTAGCTGCATATATGGAGAAGTTATAACAAAGGATCTCATATCTGAACAATCAGTTGTATGGAGGCTATAGGTTATAGTGACCCGATCTTCGCCATTTTCACTGTAAGTATTTTTGTTGATAATGGGTGGAAATATTGCCAAATTTCATGTTCCCAGCTGCATATATGGAGAAGTTATAACGAAAAATCGCACATCTGAACAATCAGTTGTATGGGAGCTATATGTAAAAATGACCCGATCTTTGTTATTTTCGCTGTAACTATAGATAATGGGTGGAAGTCTTGCAAAATGTCATGTTCCTAGCTGCACAAATGGAGGAGTTATAACGAAAATTCTCATAACTGAATAATCAGCTGCATGGGAGATATATGTTATAGTGATCCGATCTTTGTTATTTTCGCTCTAAGTTTTCTGTTGATAGTGGGTGGAAGTATTGCAAAATTGTATGTTCCTAGCTGCATAAATGGAGAAGTTATAACGAAAAATCTCATGTCTGAACAATCAGTTGTATGGGAGCTATATGTTATAGTGGTCCGATTCTTCCGGTTCCGACAAATGATTAATACATTATAAAAATACACCCACCTACCAAATTTCATCCAGATATCTCGAAAAGTGAGAGACTAGATTGTATACAAACAGACGGACAGACAAACAGACAGGCAGACAGAAAGACGGAAAGACGGCTAAATCGACTCAGATCGATGTTCCGATCATTTAAGTATACATTTTAATAGGTCTATCTCTTCTTATTCTGGTACTTACAAACATCGGACCAAAGTTATAATACCATTTCATGCTCGTGAAAGGTATAAAAAATATCGAATAAGAACAGCACATTTTGTTTACTTTTAAATACGGTTTTAGCGGGTGCGCTATAAAGACACAGGTATAAACTCTTGAAAGAAATACATATGTGTTGACTAAACGCATGCGGTTCTTGCGCAAGTATAAATGAGAATTCTAATGTAGTTCTGAAATCGAAAATCAGGTCAGAAAACTATGTTAGAATTCGATTAGAGAATGATTAGTAAAAAACTATACATTTGAAACCAATTAGAATTCAACGTTAGAACACGATTAGATATCTAATATTTTCTCAATATAGAGATCTAAGTCGCCATTTTGTAGAGAATGCTATAATTCTCAACAGTTTCTCTAATCATCTCTAACCTTCTACCATACATATTAGATTTCGACTCCTTTTCCAATCGTTCTCTAACCTTAATGTTTGTTGGGTTCTTCGCATCCACTGTTGTGATTTCTCTTGTGCTCAGTAATATGCCACAAAAATGCTTAAGAAATGCATCAAATTTAAAAATTGGCTCTGATATATTAGTTGCGTTCCTTATCTTCCAGAAATAGTCATAAATAGTCCAAAGTATGTAGTCAGATTTAGTCCAAAAAGCGTTTCTTAACTTGAAAATGACAGCAGAAATGAGAGAGCAACTACGACTCTCTTCAGTCCTTAGTTACAAGCAGGGTTGCCAACTTGGCTCAAACAGTGCCATTCTTGGCCCTATTTTACTACAAAATGGCACTTTTGAAAAATAATAAAATTTCAATACATTTTTGGGAAATCCTTTGCGTGTACTTTTTTTCTCAACTAAAATTTTCTTATTTCTTAGTATACACCTGTTTTATCTTACTTTGGCATTGGTCGATGAGGCGGCTCTTGGGTGTTTGAGAGAAAGATTTTGCGGAAGATTTACGGTCCTTTACGCGTTGGCGACGGCGAGTACCGCAGACGATGGAACGATGAGCTGTATGAGCTTTACAACGATATGGACATAGTGCAGCGAATTAAAATACAGCGGCTCCGCTGGCTTGGTCATGTCGTTCGAATGGACACCGACGCTCCAGCTCTGAAAGTATTCAACTCGGAACCCGCTGGTGGTAGCAGAGGAAGAGGGAGGCCCCCACTGCGATGGAAAGATCAGGTGGAGAAGGACTTGGCTTCACTTGGCGTTTCCAATTGGCGTCAGTTGGCACAGAGGAGAAACGACTGGCGTGCTTTGCTGAACTCGGCCAAAATCGCTTAGGCGGTTACAGCGCCAAAAAAGAAGAAGAAGAGGCATTGGTCTTTTGTTTTAGGAATGTATTTCTAATTTTAATCCTAAATGGGATGAACTAAAAAGAATGGCACCTTTTTTGGCACTTTTATTTTTCTATTTGGCACATTGTGGCACTATTTTATCCTCAATATGGCACTTCATAGCTAAGTATAGTTGGCAGGCCTGGTTACAAGATTTAGTCAGAAGAGTTTTTGCTGGCAAAATCTTGAAAAGTGTCAAACTCAACTCAACGAAAAGTGAGAATAATCTAAAAAGTAATAAAGTGAATTGAAAATGGAAGGAGGAAAAACATAATTGATATAGTAAGTGTTTATTGTGCTTGTGTGAATATGTTTTGTACATATATTTATAATTTTATTTGACATTAGTTTTGTTGTTGCCATTCTGTGGACTAAAAATTTGGATTTTTGCGTTCCTTTACTTTCTCCTGTTATACTCTTTCAGTGAGCGCATTTTCCTTAAGCTCTTGCATTTTGACACTTTCCAGATTTTAGTCTAAAAAGTTAAGGAATGGATCGATTTTAAATATTAAAGTCATTGCCGCGTATTTTTGAGCGCAGTATAAATACGGTGACTATCTGTTCTGTTTTTTGCAGGACCGTACTGTTTTTCAAAGGTCGGTCCTGCGTAGTTTTTCAAACCTGAAAAACCTGAAAATGTACTGATTTTTTCCAAGTGTCCTGCATTTGTCCCGCATTTTATTCGTTATTTTAAAATTATCGGACAATGGATGGATTTTTTCAAAAAAGTGTTTTTTGGTACTTTTCGTAGCTTTTCTTCAATATCTCATGAAAAAATCTCCCAATCAACGTAAGCGACTTACAGCTCGAAGGGTATTGATGTGCCTCTTACCAAAATATATAACTTGTGGCGACTTCAATGAAAATTATTAGTGCTACAGGCGACCATTTGCATTTTGTCGTCAAAGTCGAAAAAAGTGAGATTTTCAATCAAATACGCAGTTTCATTTGATTATTTTTTTCATTATTTTAAAAATTCGATAAAGAAGATATATCATTACAGTAAATTTTGAGCCAAAGATAATGAAAATCGGATTAGAAATGTAGATGCTATGGAGCGCAATCTGCACAAATTATATATTTTTGTAAAGGGCACTTTGTAACTCGTCGTTTACGTCGATTCATGACGTCGATTTTTAACAAATAACTGCGAAAAGTACCAAAAAATAAAAAAGGATATTGTTTTCGTTTTGAGCGACTCAAAATTGGCCTATAAAATAATCTTTTAAAGGTTTTCACTTTTCGTGTAAGCTATTGTAATTATAATATGTTTTACTATACTTTTATAAATATTCATGTAAAAACAAATTAATAGCGATGAAGAAAACGTGATTCATTTTTTAAGTTTAAAATCTATTAAGAATTTAGAATCATAAATACTCTTTTGATATTTTTATACTACGTAAATATATGTAGGCATATTTTTGAAAAATTGTCCTTCATTTTGAATCCATATTTATGGTCACCGTAGGTATAAATCATAACAGTGATGCGAAGATTTTTGTACATAATTGCGTTAGAATAGGGCTGTAAGAAGCAAAGTCTTACCCAAGCGCTGCAGACTTTTTTGATTGCGAAACAGCTCGTCAACAACAACTGACAGTTGATTGCCATCAAGTAGGACTTTATTGAGGTGTTTGACGTCGCGAAATTCATCTTTGTCGAGGAATTTGAACTGAAAGTATAGGAAAAGTGTAATGAAAGTATGTATTAGACAATATTTTACTTTGAGTATTTGTTTGCCAAAATAAAAAAAAGAAAATTTCACTAATTTAAAGCGAAACAAATAAACAACCAATGATTTTTTATAGAAGCTACAAACTCTTTCAACAAAACTGGTGGCTGAGTCAGTCTCCACTCTTAAACTGCTTTGCTTACCTCATTGCGACCCAAATCCAATTCATTAAGCATGGGCAATAAGTTATACAATTGTGGATTGATTTTCTTCAATTGACAACTGCGACATTTGAAGAGACGAAGCTCCTGTAGAAAAATAATAGAATCTTAATGAATATGCAGAAATTGGAAAGAAAATCAAATGAAATAAATTTACAAGTATATACTTTATACTACTATATACATACATACACAGTATATAAGAAAGAAGCGGAGCTGTGTAACTGTGAATTTATTTTAAATCATGAAATATTTACAAGTTTAGTCACTTTTCTCTTGTTCGGCAGTGGGGATTGTATTTTCTAAATTTACAATCATTAAAAAAAAGTGATTGATAGAGCTCGGATATTTATGCAAGTGATTATTTTTGTTTAACACAACAGAAAGTCCGGACCTGGGTAGAAACTCATTGTAGGAGGAAGTGAGTTAATTTGGACCTATTATGTTTTGCATATTNCCGACCCTTGCATCGCTTCTACCCTTGGTTTGAGGCAAGCGTTTCGTGGCGCCAGAGGTCTGTCTGGATGATCGGAATTGGGCAATGCCACACCATTTCTTTTTCTTCCTACTCTCCTCCAGGATGCGCTCCTGGTCTATGACGTAGGGGACTTTGGCAATGGTTGAGGCCGCAAATGCGGATGATTTCCCACAGATACTACTAAAGTAGTTTAAAGGGTTAACTAAATACAAGTTGTTAATAAATTTGAAGCTATGCATTTAACAAAACTTGTTTAATTTTCTCTGAAATCTTAATAACATGAACACTAGTGCAAACGACTTCGGTCTTGTTTCCTAGGTGTTATTTAAATTGTTGTATACTGATCTTTTTTTAGCATATCTAACTATGTATTTTTTTACAATTTTTTAATAAAAATATTTCTTGCATATAGTTTACATACATTTTGCATATTCAGTTTGCATAAAAGTCCGAGCTCTAGTGATTGCACACAGCAAGTGCTACACACATGAATGAAAAACTAAGACTGCTTAATGGTAGGGGAGCCCACGATGCTTAATTGGGATTTACTCGAGCGTCATTTTTACCTATTCGATTTTGAAGATTATATGATGGGGAGAAAAAAGTCATGAGCGGTTTCTCCTTCCAGCGGTGGTTGTAAAAAAAAAAACAGTTACATGGATTTACTCGAATGCGTCAGATATGGATAGTGAATTAGGGATGCAGAACAAATATCGATGCATCGGAAACATCGATGTTTGCTGTTCGATGGATTTTTTTCGATGCATCTATTTTTGCGTGCAATGTACACTGTACATATTAAAATTATTTTGTATGCTTCCAAACTCTTTGCTCTAGTAACTATTCTAAATGTGAAAATCTAACTATTTATGCACTATTAGAACATATATTCTATTAATATTATGCAAAAGGTATGAGTTATTTGCACTAATAAATTGCTAATTTAAAAGTAGAAACGTTTATTGTCAAACAACCATGTACAAAATGATATTAATTTACATGATATTGATACTATAAAACCCTTTGGAAATTTGGGCAGATTTTAAACAGCGATTCTCAAAAGTGCTTCACATAGCTTATAAACATAGTGAAATAATATAAAGTGATGTACGCTTTATCTTGAGGGATTGAAAACTTCAGTACTGCAACGTTATGTGTGCTTTTGCACAAGCGCACATAGAGACGAATCGACAATATAGGACGACAAAAATGTTTACTCTATATGAATTTGACAGATTTCAATGAAATTTGGTATTTAGGGATTTTCATCACATAGGATTTTCGTCGTCACTGAATTCGAAGATTAAATTAAATTTCTAAAACTCAAAATGGCGAATCCAGTATGGCGGACGATTTATTAAAAAATTTATAGATTGTTATTAAGCTTAGTATCCAGAGCTTTTCGTCGTCACTGATTTCGAAATTGATTTTTAATTTAAAAAAATGAGATTGGCGGATCGAATATGGCGGAATATTTCTTCAAAAATGTATAGATTGTTATGAAGCTTGGTATCCAGAGATTTTCGTCGTCACCGGTTTCGAAATTGATATTATGTTTTCAAAAATTCAAAATGGCGGATCAAATATGGCGTCCCGAACAATAGGCGTTTTACTTTTAACGCAATGTATTACCTTTAGCACCATTTCAACCCATTTTGGATTTCGAAAATTTAATTTCAATTTCGTAATCAAAGATAACGAAGATCTCTGAATACCTATGAAACTTATAATTAAAAAAAGCGGTCCGCCATACTGGATCCGCCATTTTGATTTTTGAAAATTTGATATCAATTTCGAAACTAGTGACGACGAAAATCTCTGGATACCAAGCTTCATAACAATCAATACATTTTTGAGATATCTTCCACCATATTGTATCCGCCATTTTGAATTTTGAAAATTTGATATCAATTTCGAAATCATTGACAACGAAAACCTATCCAAATTTCATTGAAATCTGTCAAATACATATAAACAACTTAAGAAAAATATGCTCTATTTAATGAAGGGGGAAAAGGGGGGACGAGTTCAATTTATAAAATAAGAATTATACCCATTTTACAAACAACTATAGTATTAACAAAAATCACAAAATAAAGTACGCACCTCACGCCTCAATTTCCATGTTGACAAAACTATTAGTTGTTATCTATATATTAATACGCTAGCATAAATTTAGTCTCCGTTCGTTTGGCGATTCTACCGAACCGATTTCAAAACCAAGAACACCGTTGGAAAGGCATTTTTCCGTAGATGAGCAGAGTTTTTATGGTTTCACAACTGGTTGAAAATTACGGCCAAAACCGTCGTTTAAACATTTTCGAATTGTGTATAGATGTTGCTGCAACATGTTCCATTTGACACGTTTCGCCTGTTGTTTCACTACACATTTGAAATTAAGCTTTGAAATAAAGATAAATATGAAGATGAAGAAATAAATGATAACGATGAAGTCAAAAAAAAGAAGGCAGAAGTGAAGATAAAGACGAAAATGGAGACAATGACAGATACATAA